ACTTGCAGGAAAATTTTCGGCGAGGTAACGTGATGTAAAAACTTGCAGTATATATCCAACATTCACAGGATTTTTTCAGATTCCTGCGTGTCAACGCAGGAATTTGTAAATTTTTTTTCAGTGGGTAGGCACAATAAAATGAAGGAAAACAGGACAATTCTATTTTCTCTAACGCATTCATAAAATAGTTCTTGAGAAACGTTAGAATCTTTCTCTTAAATAATCACTCTGTTTTCAGAGTAGAGCATTTACCTGGTGGACCATGAACTAAATGTATTCTATCAAACAAATCTTCAAACATATCATTTGCAATTTTGATTGTTTGTGTCTGATCAGCGTTAAAATTTTGTAATAAGTTATCATTGTTAACGTCACCATCATCATCATCACTTTGCTCAGGTAAATGAAAATATGGATCATTCAATGTTGGTTTGAGTAAACTTTTGTACTGTGGCCAACTTTCTACATTGTATATAGCTGATATCATTCTTCTCGATGATGTTATATTACTTAATTTAAACATCTTTAGCTGTTTATTCACACTATGATATGTTTTAAATGCTTCTGCACATTTTTCTGAAACATACACAATAACAATTGTATGTATATCAACACATAAGAGATTCTTTTTAATATTATTATTCATCATTAAATGATTATTAGAATTTCTACGTAAATTGTCATCATCTCGTTTAACTTTAGTTTCTTCTACATGAACAATGATACCAAAATAGTCTATATTGTTGATGTTAATTAAAACACAGTCAAATAAGCCGATTTTTCGTAATAAAGGATTATATGTATCACGAAACAGTGTCTGATTTGTACCAACAATGAGTGAGGCTTTATATTCGTCTAAAATTTCGTCTTCGTCTTCAATATATTCTTCAGTAATTATTGTTTCTCTCGCTGCTTTATCAGTATCAACATTAATATAATCTTTTACTAATTCACACCATAATTCATGATAATGCAATGGTATGAAACAGTCACGATAATATTCTGAAGCAATTTTAACATCAAAATTTAAATCATCATCGTCATCATCATCATCATCATTGTTTGAATCGTCTAGACAACAACAGAAAATATCGAACAGAAAACATTGAATAATTCTTTGTGTCTTTACAAATTAAACAAAAAGATAATCAAGCCTTAATAGTTTTAACATAGATCAAAAAAGCATTTTTTTCTTTCTTCTTTTAAGTCTCTAGGCCTTACTATTGCTGTGTCTAAAAAAGTACTTTTTTTTTATTGTGTTACCCTCCTCGAGCACCACATCCGTGGCAACTAAAGTATTTATCACAAATACTTGACACAAGATCTAAGATATACTGTTTGGAAATGACATTAAATCTCTTACTTCTCTAGTTATAAGGGTTTTTAAGAGGTTTCGTTTTTGCGTATTTTCGCTCCAAGTCGGGAAGGAAGCACTTTAAAAGAACTTTCAAAACCACAGTGAGTTGTGATGTCAAGTATCTGAAGTAAAAATTCTAGCCTGATAAGATGAGCCTTTCAGAGAGTCGTCATCTAATACAACGCAGTATGACGGAGGTAAAATAGTAGGTGAAACAAAGAAAATGCTTTCCATAAATGTTAGGTTCAATTAGTTACGAGAATGAAAAAATTTTTTTGTTTCCAAGTCTTACGTTTTAGGAGTTTTCAAGAGATCAAGGTCCAAAAAGGACCATGAAATGTTTCCCAAAATGTTTGGATATACTTCAAACTGGAGAGTTCGGGTATGTTTTATTTTAAACTAGACACCTAACTACATAGACTGACCAGCGCCGATTTTTCAATTAAGCCTTTATTGGTCCTTTAGGCAACGAACAACCTACAAAACCCGAAAAAGCCTTCCGGATTTGCTAAAAGTCCTCAGTTTGACAAAAAAAAAAATGAACTCTCTACGGCAAACCGCTATAAAAAATCAACACTTCAGATATAACTTCTATGTAGAGAAAACGCTGTATAAAATGCTCAGTTGTAGAAAAATACTTGTAGCTTTTTGATACAGGTTCACTGAAAGGTGTGCGGGTTCTTATTTTGATCAGAAGTGACGCACATATAGATGAGCAACCAAACTTGTTTTAATGCATACGCGCAGAGACCATGCAACGTATGTACTAGCAAATACCCGATACGTTATGAGACTAAGAACTTCTTTCTTCGTAAAAGACAAGGTGTGATTTCTGAAAGAGCTTAAAGAAACCGGATATTTTACAGAAGAAAAATGCATTCTGTACAAAGCGACTCTAGTCCATCAGAAAGAGGAGAGTTGATAATAATTAACTTAGTAGAAAAAAAGGTTTTCAATTTTTTCCTAGAAAATCGTTGGGAGGTGCACTTTTAAATGTCAAATCAACCATCTGTGAATTATCTAGAATAATTACAAAAACTCATTTTAAATATTTTCTGAATATACCGAACGTTGTAGGAATTTCTTTTCTTTCTTTTGATGTTAAACTTTTATGAAGGGTATTAATGTTCACTCGTTTTTGTCTTAAATAATCTGGTCTCCATCTTGTAACAATATTATGAAGTAAATAACGAACAGCTTGTTTTACGTCATTTGACCACGATGGTTCTTCAGCACCATGTGCCATAGCCCAACCACAATTTTTAAAGTCTCGAATTGCGCCTGGAGGCCTACGTAAATCTCGCAATCTATCATGATTAATCTTAAATAAATTTATTGCTGACGAATAACTCCTATTAAATAAAAATAAATAACGTGCTTCCATCCAAAAATGTCCATCGGGTCCATTTAGTTTTTGTTTATACCAACTATCACCAGATTCCACATAATTTGTATCCATCCTTCTTTATTGCTTTTATTTCTCCTAAGTTCTTGTTGTTGTGATTGCCATTTTATAGCAACAAAGCAAAATTATATCTGAAAATATTCCAAAACATCTATAAAAGTTTATAGGTCAAGATATTTATGTGTATTTAGTTGTAGACAACGTATATTAAATCATCATTCTAAATAGAAGTGAAAAAGTTCGACAAACATAACCAAAAAATTCATTAATTATTCATCTCTGAAATCTATAACATCACAGTGTAATAAGAACAACGTAACAGGATGTGTATGAAATTGTACTGCTGTCGCATTGTTTTTGTCACATGTTTACTTAAGAAACAAAAAAAATGTGTTAACTGACTTTCTAAATGTGAGTTCGATAGTTGAAAATGAAACAGTAAACACAAACGTCAACACACACATACGGTCATGCAGCATGTGAACTCCGATATATTTATATCGGAGTTCATGATGTCAGCGGCCAGTAGCGACATAGAAAGAAATTTTTTTGTCTCCCGACTATAAAAATGATGCTCTAACTTTTGGGGATATGATACTTGGAGTTATAACATTTTATATTTTGCTCTTCTGTTCTTCTCCATATAACTAATTTGCAAAAGCTGCATGAATGACAAAAACAAGCTAAAATAATACAATTTTACAGATATATTATTGATCTTTGTTTGTCACTTAATCACATGGTGAATTTTAGTGATCCAGTGTTTTTATGTCATGGTATTGGAAATGATTTTGACTAAATATATCGATATTTCAATTATCTATTCAAAATAAGTACAATTCAAGAAATTAGAGTTCAATGTCATATGATCAATGTTTGTCTCAGTGCGCAGATATGCTGATCTTTATTTGGAATTAGATCTAGTAAAAGCAATCGCTAAAAAAGACTTACTGAGGTATAGTATTATGATCAAAAAGAATCGCAGAAAGCTGACAGGCTCTTCATTGTGGTTACTAAATAGTTCCAGTATAAATGAATAATCTTTTTTAGGATGATCTGGCAGTATTTTCTAACTCTATTTGTTGAATTAAATTGGAATTGTAAGATTAATATTAGATTAACATTTTTATTTAGCTTGTACGTTTGATAGAAGGAAATAAGAAGAAAAGTATAAAACTTTTAATTAAAGTAACAGAAAAACATCCTATGAGCATGTCACATGAATAAATGGCACAAAAGGTGATTAGTAAATGTATTGTGATCATCAGAAGTAGAAAATAGCGAAAAAATGATGATGGTGTGTAATTAGTTGTAGATAAGTGTATTACGTTTATAGCACTGAAAGATAGTTTTACAAAAAGAATAGTTTCGTAAACGAGACATATAAAATATAGCTTTGAACGGTTTCGCTATTCTGCCTTATTAGAGATGCAGATAGGATTATTTATAAAATTATTATCATTTCGATTTTTCTTACCGACTCGATCACAACAATAGTTAATTCTAGTAAGCCAAGTCATTAAAAATAATATAACGCGCGGAACGTGAACTATATTCCACGGATAGATAATAAATTTATTCATTTCTGTCAGCGCGTAAATAGATGAATATTGTTCTCTTTTCTCTCGTTCTCTTCTGTTTTCCCGACAAGAGAAAATTCTCTTCTATTGTGTACATTTAACACACTTTCTCCTTTCGGAAAAATAGAAAAGAAGGGAAAATAGAAAAAGGGATCTGTATCTCGTGTGAAGAAATATATGAGTTCAATTATTTTCTACGAGTATTAAATATTCGTTGTTTTTTTCTACACTTCTTTGTTTTTTTGTCATGTCACACTATGTTCACACGACAGCGTTAATCACGATTAGAGCGAAAACAAAACTTGGCCATACATCTCCTCCGATTTTCATAGCTCGAAGAGACAACTCGGAAGCCATATTAGTGAAAAAAATTCCACTTAAAACTGATCTAACTAATCGATGAAGAAACAAAAATTCTATATTTTGATAACCACATATTTCAAAGCCAGACGGGACCTATTTTTGAAAAATAGCTCGGCATCATGTCGAACATTTTTCTTTCAGTTGGGGTACTCTCTAATTAATTTCTATTTCACTCGTTAAGTTAAGGGATTTGCATTAAAAGTCATGATGAGTGATGTTTTCCTTCGGTAAAATAAGTACATCAATATTTACACCAAAAGATAAAATTTGTTCTTCTTTATTTCGTTCTTTAAAGAAAAACATACAAGTCAGCTTTATATAAGTTAGATTGTGTAATTAATAATAGAAAACGAAAATTTATTCCATTCTGTACAGCTACTTCTTAATTGAGACCACTATTTTTCGCTCTCAATCTCATTTGGCTTGTTGTCCTCTGATGTTTGTTTGATGTTAATTAAGACTTCCTAATTAAGACTACCTTTTATCAAAAAACGTGGTCTCAATTCAGAAGATTCATTCTATACATATCAGTTTTTTCTCTTTTTGCTAATTAACCGAGGAAACGGAAAGAGTATGATATTCATGGTGTCCTCTCAGTTCGTCCCAACTAATTTGTCCCAGAATTTTTTTTCGCAGTTGGTCCTATTAACCCTTCTCTAAGTTCGCTCCAGATATCTATGCTCGCGCCTCAAAATAAATAAACTGTTGTACCATCGAACAATTTAGACGACGACGATAGGTATTGTAGACAATAATAGGTGCGTGTACGTGACAAAATGTGCGGTGTTGCCACTACTATCACAAATTTGTTCATAAAAAAAATGATGATTCTCACGTCTACTGACTGAAAAAGACAAACCAGTTTTGAATCATAATGGGTATCCATACACCAAAAAACGAGCAAAAAAAACAAATAATTAATGGCGGTGCCGGGATAAAACATGCTCAAGTACAATATCATTATGTACAGATGATGTGAGAATTTTACGGAATGAATCAGCACACAAATGCAAAGCAGATACCGCCATAGTCCTCGTTGAT